AAAAAAGTTTAATTGAAAAACTCATTGTTAATACTTCAAAGTACCTAAGAAATAATTTAACACGTTGATTGCCACGATGATATAAAAAAATCACGACTTTATTAGATAATTTAGTTAAACCTGTATGGAAAAAAATTTCTCTTGGAAAAACAATGTTTTTGGTATCACTTATAATGACTGACATGACTCTATATAAAACTTTTTTTCTCAACAATGACTGACGTGACTCTATATATATACAAGTGTATATATATACACTTAGGTAGCTAATAAAAATCCCTAAAATCTAACTTTAGCTAATCCAATTCACTATTTAAATATATTTGATCTTACGATCATAAAATCGCCTCCATTAGACCTTGCTCCAGATTTTCAACACTTGCACCACAATTGAAAATATTTCAAATAAAAAAATATATTGTGCAGGAAATAAGATAGAGTTAAATTTATTGCATTGATTATTTTCATACAAATAAACGCCTTAACTAAAAAAAAATTCATATGAAACATATACTTGTATCGAAGCGCTATCGATGCATGAATTAAGTAAGTTTAGTTCTAATTGTCTGTTAAATAAATTCTATTATTTAGCTCTTTTTAACATAAATCAATAAATAATTAGCTAGATTTCGTTCTGTGTCCTTTATAATTCACCTTAATGTCCTTATTATCCTTGGAATATCATATCTGGAGTTTACGTGAGAATTGGTAAAGACAAAAGGCGAAAATAATGAAAAAGATTTTATCCTGCAGGAATAATAGAATTGTGGAGGTTAATTGAAAGAAAAAAAGGATGAAAGGATTTGAAAGACAAAGGTTTAAATAAAATATAACTATGAGTAGATAAAATAAATTTTTAAACACTTGTACAATAATAATTGAAATTGGTTTTGCAAATGAGCACTTTCAAACGTGGTTGTATTTTGAATAAAATTTTTATGAATATGTTTATAATAATATCAATAAACTTGAACTGATATGTTACTTAAAAATTATGTGAGAAAAAATTCAACATCTGAAAGAAGTACCTACCGCACAACTACTGCTTTTCTTAAAGATTTTGCTTCTAAAAATGAAATTAAAATTTAAAATGATTTTTGATTAGAATACCTTATTACATAATATGTCTATTATGACAATAAATAGAATTTGTCAAAATTCTTAACAAAAACATGAATAAATTATGATTATTACTGAAAAAGTGCTGTGGCTTAAGATTCTTATACTTTATAAAATATAATACTAAAAATATTACTTAGTAAAAATCTTATACTTAATAAACGTGTTTGGGTTGCTGGTATTATTGAATTTTTAAAATTAATAATTAATTGCTTATTATATTTTATTAGTTAGCAGATCCTAAAATCAAATTAAATTTATATTTATCCTAAAAATAATATCGAGGGTTATTATTTTTAGGATACTGTTTGTTTTTTAAATTCTTCGAATACTTTAATTTTAATTTAAATACTTTAATTTTATATAGAAGATTTCAGTATTGCATAATGAATTTATTAGCATCAACAATACAAAAGATTGACTATTTTTTCGAGAAAAAATAATGATTGTCCAACAAAAGTATATTTTTCTAGGATTTAATTGAGTATTTTATTTTTCAATATATGGTTTTAATTTGCTTGAGATACTTTTCTGAGAAAAATATAAAAGGAATAATAATCATCCTATAAAAGTATATTCTTCTAGGATTTAATTTGAGTATTTTATTTTTTAAACTATCATTCTAATTTGTTTGAGATACTTTTCTGAAAAATATATGCAACAAATAATGATTATCCTACATATAATAATTTTTAATATTAAATTTGAGTATATCATATCTTTTAAGATTTTAATTTGTTTGTCTAACAGCTCAGTAATTTGTAAATTTTATTGCTCAATATTTTTTTATTTATTTTTCACCAAATTCAAATTTATTCTTTTAATACAGAAATAAAATATTATTTGTCCAAGAGAATCAACCCAAATACTGTTTTGATTTAATTTTCTTGAATTACAATATAAATATTAACACTTCATTGCTAATATATTTATTACGTTGAAAAAAGCAATAAAATCTAAAGTTTTTTTTTACAAAACTTAACAAAATAATAATTTTTAAAGAGTGCCTCTACACACACGTTCTTCCTTCCAGATTTAGTTCGTTCAATTATTTTATGTTGACTTTAAGAACTCTTTCTGTTAAATTGAACTTAAATTAGAATCATTTATTGTCTTTACTATATCAGTAAATACAAAATTTACTAAATTCCAGTTAAAAGAAAAAAATAAAAAAGCATTATCTGTAAAAGTATCTCGTGGATTCTGGCTTGAAAATTGCTTCGCATTTATAACAAAAGTATTAAATGTATCGAAGCTCAAAGGAATATAATACACATATATGTATATATTATATATATATATATATATATATATATATATATATATATATTTCCATGTGTGTAGTTTATTATTTCTGGCATAAATAAGGTAAACTTTATACGACGTGTGAATTGTTTACAGTAGGCATAGAGATTATATGCGGCTTTTGTAAACCAGTGCTAGCCCAGAATATTAATAGACATTCAAATATATACAATATATACAATATATATATATATATATATATATATATATATATTAAAATATTATTAAAAAATTTATATAAATTTTTAGCCAATCTCCTTGACCCAGTTGCAACCCATTCGATATCATTCTTTAAAAAAATAGAATTATTTTGAACTTTGAATATATCTAATTTTGAGCCTATTTATTATTTGACTTTACCAAATCGTCCATTAACAAAATTTATAATTCATTTACGTATACAATAATTTCGTCAATAAATCCATTATTTAGTCGCCATATAGCATTCGGTTTCATTAATAATTAGTCCAAAATTAATTCATACACGATGTGAGTACATTTCATAAATGCATCATGTAACATAATTTATTCCGATGCATTTATTGAATAATTCGAACGTAAAATATAATAATGAATTCGATAATGAATTCAATGTAGCGTTTCGTATTCGCCAATAATTAAAATTTGATTCGATTTAATTACCGTAATTTAATCAATTTTTATTTATTCCATCATGGGGTAAATGTACAGATTATGGGAATAGATGACGATATTAGAATTTATTATATATATGGATATAAGACATTTTTTTTAGTTATTTTGTAACAATGTAAAATTTTCATTCTATACAATTTAATTTATTTACATATATGAAATCTAGATAAAATTTACTAAAACGCAGTAAGAACTTTTAAATACACATGAATATAGCATTTTTGAATAGTTAATAGTTTAAAATTTTGAATAATTCATAGTTGAAATGCGGACTTGAGTATTTTATAATCAGCAATAATGGAAATAGAACATTTTTTCAGTTTTCTTTCAATTACTTCAAATTTTTATTTTGTAGATTCTAATATTTTTAATATATTCTTATATCTAATATTTTAGTATAAGTAAAAACTAGATAAAATTTACTAATGTTTAGTAAATTTCTTTTCACACACTTGGATATCAAAATTTTGAATAATTCGTAGTTGAAATGCATGTATGCAACATGTATTTTTTAATTGGCAATATAAGGAAAGAGGACATTTTTTTACATTTTTTTAAATAAGTTTTAATTTTTGTTTTGGGCATTATAATTTAATATCTAATATTCATTAGAACAAAATAGATAAAATTCAGTAATATCTAGCAAAATTGTATACACATATCTATATTAAAATTCAGCAAATACTAAAACTACTAACAAAATTATCTAATAAAATATAATAAATAGTATTTTGTATAAAATCCAAAAACTGAGACTTTAATAATTATGCTGGATATTTTATTATTGTTATTGCTAAAATCAACATTAAATATTTTAATAAAATTTATCAATCATTTTTTCAATTTAATTTTTAATCTTCATAATTAATTAATTAATTTTTATTTTTTAATTGTTTTCGTAATTTATTTTATCAAACATTTCCTCAATCAGCTTTTTTAAAATATTTTTTTAATTCTCTGCTCAGTATTTAAAATTATTATAAATTTCTCGATTTTAGCATACAAAATATAGTTCAAATTACAACAAAGAAAAATCTGAAATAATCTCTTGATCCAAAAACCATTTAATTTAGTGACATTATTATCTAATACAGAAATATATAAGTTTTTGATTAATTTTATATCGGAGTGTAAAATTAAGTTATAGAATTATGTGGAGATAAGCTTATAAGAATACATTTTATATTATTTAGAGTAGTAATGATTTAATTTAATAGGTTGTCAAATATCTCCCTTCCGCCTTTTTGTATTATAAACCAAGAGCAAAAAAGCGGAAGGGAGATATTTGACAACCTAATATTAGACTTTAAGTTGCTAGATGTAATTTAGAAGCCAATAAATATAAATAAAAAAAATCCCTTGATCCAAATATGAATTTTAACATTAAATATATTTTTTCCTGTTTTAAATTTATTCGCCTAATATTTCAATTTTAAAATTCAGTCAACATTAATTTAAACTAATTCAATATTTTCATTTACCATTTACCTACTTTTCCCCAACATTGCCAGTTTGCCCCAGGCATCATGATTAAGGGAAAAAGTCCATTTCCACATAATTAATCTATGTCCTTTTTACTTGAAAAGCGCTTGAGGGCGCGAATTTGTACCTTTTGTATGTTTTTGGGGGGGGGTCAGAGTTTTTTTATATTCTAACTGCAGGGGCAGAAAAAGTCAATTGGAAATTGTAAAAAATGGTAGAGGGAAATAGAAAATTGTAAAAATTATAAAAAATATATTTGTCAAAATAAATGTGTGTGTGTTCATGTGTCTACATATATCCATCTGTATGACAACAGAGTCGTAACAAAAAATATGTCAGAATCCCTTTGTAAGCTTATTTCGCTGCCGCATAAGCCGATTAGAAAATGACAAAGCCAGTGTAGTAGAACCACATTTTGTCATTATTATCATCAAAACCAGATGTCTCAAACTCAACTCAAACTTTACTACATACTAACATATAATAGAAATAGTGCGAGAGCTGGAAGGCTAGGTAAGTTTACTCCGAAATTTTCTTTACTCTAGTTATAGAACTGCAACCGAGAAAAAATCGAAAAATGTACGAGATAAATAATATGGTGTATGGCATCGGGCCTTAAGGCAAAAAAAATAGAATTTTGGAATTTTAGCTATTTTGCACTAATGTATATAAATTATAAAGTCCAAAATAAAATTTAAAACTTATTTGAAAAAATGTAAAAAATGTCCCTTTTCCTTATATTGCTAATTAAAAAATACTCGTTTAAGTCCGCAATTTAACCACAAATTATTCAAAATTTTGATATCCAAGTGTATTTAACAGTTTACACTAGATTTTGTGAATTTTATTCAGATTTTACTTATGTAAAATATTAGAATGTACAAAATAAAAATTTGAAGTAATTGGAAGGAAACTGATTGGAAGATTTTACTTTTGATTTAATTAAAAGCTATTTGCATAAATGTAGAAAAATGTACTATATAACACATATAAATAATCAAAATACTCAAGTCCGCATTTCAACTACGAATTATTCAAAATTTTAATATACAACTGTATATAACAGTTTACACTCAATTATTGCAAATTAAATTTTATTTTTATTATTTTATTTTTTTTATTTTCCAGATTTTATACATGTAAACAAATAAGCATGTATAGAATAAAAATTTCAAAAAATTAGAGAAAAACTAAAAAATGATATGATATGATATGATAAAAATACTCAAGTAAACATTTCAACTACGAATTATTCAAAATTTTAATATACAAGTGTATTTAACAGTTTACACTTGATTTTTGTAAATTTTATGCAGATTTTACTTATGTAAAAATATTATAACAAATGTACAAAATAAAAATTTGAAGTAATTAGAAGGAAACTGAAAAAATGTTCTATTTCCATATATTGCTAATTATGTAATACTCATGTTCGCATTTTAACTACGATTTATTCAAAATTTCAATATACAATCGTATATAACAGTTTACACTCAATTTTTGCAAATTTTATCCAGATTTTATTTATATAAACAAAGAAGCATGTATAGAATGAAAATTTCCCAAATATAAAAAAAAACTAAACACAAGTCCTATATCCTCTCATATAAATTATCAAATTACTCAAGTTCGGATTTCAACTAAAATTATTCAAAATTTTGATATCCAAGTATATAAAAGAGATTTTACTCAATTTTAGTAAATTTCATCTAGATTTAAACAAATTAATATGTGCAGAATAAAAATTGTACGTCGCATAAAAAAGCAAAAAAAACGTTATCAAAATTTGGAGATTTTTATGAAACTTTGTTGACGATACATATCATGGTCTTTTAGAACATACTGAAATACTAAGGCTCTGAAACAAGGAGTTTAATTTTAAAAAATTTGGAAAAATATATTTAAAATTTGTGTCACATTTCGGGAAGTTTGTGCAACTTGCCTTAAGGCACTTACAACTAGTAAAACTAGCTTTAAAACTGAAACCAAAAAAATCCAGATGAGTTGGGTCAAAATTGTGGATAAATATTTAAAAAATATTTTCATTAACTTTCTGTAGGAAAAATCTGTTCACACACACACATACTTTTTCCAAATTCAGTCTCATTCGATTCAGAATGACTTGAAACGTCGAGAAAACATGAAAAGAAGCGAATCGGATTTTTTGATGAGAACAATCTTCTCCTTTGAGAAGTTAAATATAAAAAAATCAAATTTTTCAAAAAAGTCAATTTTTTTCAAAAATTTTAAAATTTCTCAAGAATCTGATTTTTTCGAAGTGTTGCAAAGATTTTATTAATAATTTAGCTTTCGGTACGGAAAGTTCCAGCATTTTGCCTTAAGACACGATGCCATACAGCACTAGTTTTCCTTTTTTTTGACAAAATATTGTCTCCAATTTCAACGCGAATTATAACTACATATTAATATTTCATTTTTCCAATACTTTATTACTTGCCAATAGGCATTTAGCCAAACACGTGCAAATTTTTGTCTTACTCAGCAAAATGTTTTATTTTAGCAACAATGTTACTTGTTAACATAAACGTAAATTTTAGTCAAACCCGTCAATCAATTGTCAAAATTTAGATTTTAAGCAGAAGTTTGAACTAAAATTAAAGTCTGATCTAAGATAACAAGAACTAGAATTATAAAATTTATCTCTAAATATAATAGCTATTTATATCAATTATTTTGCTTATTTATATACAAGGTACTTTAAATTTTTTATAAGTAAAATAAATGCATAAAGAAATAATGAAAATTATTTAATTTACTAAGCACTTTAAATTTTTTATCCGTGAAATAAATACATAAAGAAATAATCAAAAATATTCAATAAATACTTTGTGCTTTATGAATAAATATTAATTAGATAAATTGAACAAAAATTAATCCATCATTTTTAGTAAAATATTTCACAAAATCTTACATGTATTTTGCAACAATTTTTTAAGGAAAAGTTAAGCACATACATAATTATAAATTTGAAAAAAAGATCGTCTTAAATTAGCACACGAGTATTTTGTGTAAAAATTATAGTTTTTTGTTTAAATTTTTGTTTATATATATATATATATATATTTATATTTATATATTTATATATATATATATATATATATATTTATTTATATTAATTTCTAATGACAAATGGAACGTTAAGCCCGCAAGGTATTTAAGATTTTCCAAAAGACAGAAATCGCCTCGAAATTTCTTTTGATGTCGAATCGTAGTCAAAACAATGCAACAAAATTGGATTGTACATTTCTTATTAATATTACATTTAATTAATCAAAACACGAATAATGAGTCTTTGAGAATTGGGCCTACGAATGTACGGGGCTTCTGATGGTCTTTTGTCTAAATCAAATCTTTTGTTAGGATTCAAAAAGCGATTTTCTAAAAATAAAGGAGAGGAAAGGATATATGTATATGTATATATATATATATATATATAAATATGTATATATGTATATATGTATATATATGTATATATTGTAAATCACTCAGGAACAGAACATCGAAATGAAACGCAAAGTCTTTTAACTTTCAACCTATTCCAGATAAAAATCAGTGATGCATTCGCGAAACTAAATCATTCTTTTTGCACATATTTTAAAATATACAATAAATAAATTCTCACAGTTATATATATATATATATATATATATATATATATACCTTTGCTATAAAAATTCCAAACCAAAAGTATAAAAAATGCACTTTGTTCGGCGCACTTTAAATCAAAACAAATTGAGTCAAAACAAAGTTTTCACAATACTGATTATACTTTACTTAAATTTTATAAACCATAATATTTTGCAAAAATCTATATAACATTATCTTAACTGTATAATTTTCTAAACGAGATCAAATGTTGAATTTAGTACCAAAAACAGCATCGACGCGACAACCCGGGCGACAACGACCCAGTTAATTATTTTTTACAGTTTTATCATCGTGTTTAATCATTTTATCAATAATTTAATCTTTAGATTTATTGCGCTTATCCGAGATAATTAATAAGAATCAGCAAATTTGATTTTATTAATGATTAATTTGATTTGATTTCATTTGATTAATTTTAATATGCAAATTTGAACGTTAACATATACTGAAGTTTTTATTGGGCACAAAAAATTAAGGACAAAAATTTAAGTAACAGCTTAAGCTTCAGGACATATTAAAATTTATATTTATGTATTTTTTGACTTTATGAAATATACCACACTAAATTTAAAAAAAAAAACTATATTTTTTACCTTTATTGTAATTTCACAGTACCATTATTTCTCCCTATTGATTTTTGCCCATTATTTTCATTCTAGTATCGATTTCTAAATGCAAATAGTTAATAGAAGTCTTTAAGAATGTCTATTAATAATTTCGATTACAAAGTAAGATTCGAAATGTATAAAATTAATGTTTTCGTACTCGACTACGTCATGGTTTATATTTGTCGTAAATTCTGAAGCTTTTCGACATGCGCTTGCGTCATTAAAATCAAGAACATTTCATGTAGAAATTCATGTGCATTACATTAAATTTATATATATATATATATATATATATATATATATATACGTAAATTGAATATGAAATAACACTACTGTGTTCTGCAAAAATATGACCTGGATTGCATCTGAGAATAAAATCATCAAGATTTATTATATTTGATTTACATATTTTTTTTAAATAATGCAGGCTGTATATATATATATATATATATATATATATATATATATATATATATATATTAGTAAATCCATTTTTGCAGAGCAAGCACAAAAGTTATTTCCTCCTAAACTTTTAATAGTTTTTTTTCGAGAGAGTGCTTAAGAGGTTTTTGTTACAGCTACTTATATAATATACATATATATATATATATATATATATATATATATATATAATTTAGTATTTATGAAAGTATATATAGTCATATATATTCATAAGCACTTGTAGAATTTATACGAAAAGTTTTACTTCACAGTTTAAGCTGTGTTTTTAATTTAAAATGGTAATTAAAAACCGAGTGGGATGTAATTGTTTAATATATAAAAATTCTAATGATGATTATTATTCTGATAAAAACTGAATATAAAAAATATGAATAAATAATAATTATAACAAAACTTATTTAATCGTAGCAAAAAATCTCTAGGTATAAATGATTTATCTTTTCTGATATCGGTACAATTTGTAATTTACGACATTGTTTACAAATAATTTTCCACGTTTTTTTGTGAGTAAAACAAATGACGAGTATTTTTTGAAAAATGTTGTATACTATGTAATTTTCTAACACAAAAATGTGGATGACTATATACATATATTATTTTTAATAATGTTGAAGTACTTGTTTTCAATGAAAAAATGCAACAGTGAATTTTTTCTACATCTTCAATATAATATATATAAAAAATCTTTTCAGCTCAATTTAATATATGTACTTGTTTTTATCAATATTAAAATGTTTATTCGTTTCAAATAAATTATATAAATAAATTATAAAA